ACTCTATAGAAATAAATGAGACTGTAAGAGGGTACTACGAACAGCTATATACCAACAACTGGGATAACCTAGATAAAATGGACAAATTCCTAGAAACACAAAACGTTTCTAGAACTACCAAGACTGAATTGCAAAGAAATAGAAAAAGAGTTGAATAGAGCAATAACTAGTAAGGAGATTGAATTGGTAATTAAAAATCTCCCGACAAAGAAAAGCTCTAGACCCAATGGCTTCATTGATGAATTCTACCAAACAAAGAACTAACACGAATCCTCCTCAAACTCTTCCAAAAAATTGAAGAGGGAGGAACATTTTCTAAATCATTCTATGAGGTCAACGTTGCCCTAATACCAAAATCAAAGATACAACAAGAAAACTATAGACCAATATACCCTATGAATAGACAAAAAACCCTCAATAAAATACTAGCAAACTGAATTCTACCGAATACTAAAAGGATTATAATGGTGATCAAGTAGGATTTCTTCCTGCAACGCAAGGATGTTTCAATATACTAAAATCAGTGTGACACACCAACCACATAAGAGAATAAAGGGGGAAAAAACCATGATCATCTGAATTAGTACTGAAAAAGGATTTGACAAAACACAACACTCTTTTATGATAAGAACACTCAACCAAACTAGGAAAAGAAGGAAACTACTTCATCATAATAAATACTATATATAAAAATTCCACAGCTAACATCACATTCAATGATCAAAGACTGAAAGCCTTTCCTCTAAGATCAGGGATGAGATATGGAAGACCACTTTCACCACTTCTATTCAACACTGTAATGGAAGTTCCAGTTAGAGCAATTAGACAAGAAAAAGAAATAAAGGCATCCAAATTAGAAAAAAAGAAGTATAAATATCTCTGTTTTAAGATGACAGGATCTCTTTTGTCCCCTAGAATCCTTTCATGAGCAAGCATGATCTTACATGTAGAAAACTCTAAAGAGTCCACAAAAGAAATGGTATAACTAATAAATTTAGTAAAGTAGCAAAATACAAAATCAACACACAAACCAGCTGCAGTTCTATATATTAACAATGAACAGTATGAAATAAGAAAATTCAATTTACAATGGAATCAAAGAGAATACAGATGCTACTTGACTTATGATGGGGTTAAATCCCTATAAACCCACCATAAACTGAAAATATCTTAAGTCAAAAATGCATTTAATACACCTAACCTACCAAACATCACAGTTTAGCCCATCCTATCTTAAACGTGCTCAGAACACTTACATTAGTCTAGTTGAGCAAAACCATCTAATACAAAGCTATTTTATAATAAAGCTTTGACTACCTCATGTAATTAATTCAATACTGTAATGAAGTATGGTTTCTCCTGAATGCATATTGTTTTCACAACACTGTAAAGTCGAAAAATTGTAAATCAAACCACTCTAAGTCGGGTATCATCTGAACTTAGAAAATGAAACAAGGAGGTGAAGGTGAAAAGTTTGCATGCTAAAAACTAAAAAACACTTGACAAAAGAATAAAGACATAAACAAATGGAAAGATGTCTTATATTCATAAATTGCAAGATCATGTTATTAAGATATCAATACTGCCCAAAGGGATCTACAAACTCAATGCAATCTCTATTAAATCCCAATGATATTTTTGCAGAAACAGAAAAGGTCACCCTAAAACTCATAAGAAATCTCAAGGGACTCCAAAGAGCCAAAATAATCTTAAAAAAGAACAAAGTTGAAGGACTCACACTTCCTGATTTCAAAATTTACTACAATGCTACAGTAATCAAAACAGTGTTGTCCTGGCATAAAGACAAACAAAAAGACCAGTGGAATAGAATAGAGAACCGAGAAATAAGCCCTCACATATGGTCAAATGATTTTCAAAAAGGATGCTGAGACCATTCAATGGGGGACAGTCTTTTCAACAAATGGTGCTGGTAAAATGGGGTAACTACCTGGAAAAGAATAAAGTTGGATGTTTACCTAACACCACATACAAAAACGAAATCAAAATCGATCAAAGATTTAAACCCAACTGCTAAAACTATAAACTCTTAGAAAGAAAACATACAGCAAAAGTTTCAAGATGTTGGATTTGGCAATAATTTCTCAGTCACAACACCAAAAGCACAATAAACAACAACAACAAAATAAACAAACTAGATTTTATCAAAATTAAAACTTCTATGCATCAAAGGGCACTATCAACAGAGTAAAACAGCAACCCCAAATGAAAGATAATAATTGCAGATCATGGCCGGGCGCGGTGGCTCATGCCTGTAATCCCAGCACTTTGGAAGGCTGAGGTGGGTGGATCACCTGAGGTCAGGAGTTCAAGGCCAGCCTAACCAACATAGTGAAACTCCATCTCTATTATATACAAAAATTAGCCGGGTTGGTGGCGCATGCCTGTAATCCCAGCTACTTGGGAGGCTGAGACAGTAATCCCAGCTACTTGGGAGGCCTGAACCCAGGAAGCAGAGGTTGCAGTGAGCCAAGATCGCACCATTGCACCAGCCTGGGCAACAAGAACAAAACTGTCTCAATTTAAAAAAAAAAAAAAAATGCAGACCATATATTTGATACAAGATTAATAACCAGAATATATTTTAAAACTCAAAAGCAACAAAAACATAACCCAATTTAAAAATGGGCAAAGGACTTGAATAGACATTTCACCGAAGACAAACCAATGTTCAATAAGCATATGAAAAGACGCTCAACATCACTAATCATTAGGAAATGCAAGTCAAAACCACAATGAGATGCCATTTCACATCTATTTGAATAGCTATTGAGAAACAGAACAGCAAGCACTAGCATGGGTGTGGAAAACTGGAACACTTGTGCACTGTTCTCGGGAAAGTAAAATAGTACAGCTGCTATGGAAAACAGTATGGCGTTTGCTCAGAAAAATAAATATAGAATTTCTATCTGATCCAAGAATTCCACTTTTAGATATATAATCAAAAAAACTTAAAGCAGAACTCAGATATCTATACACCAATGTTCATAGAAACGTTATTCACAATAGTGAAAAGGTGGAAGCAACCTGAATGTCCATCTGTGGGAGAATAAACAAAATGTGGTACATACATACAATGGAGTATTAATCAGCATTAAAAAAGAAGGAAATCCTGTCACATGCTACAACAGAGATGAACCCTGAAGACATTAGGTAAGGGAAATAAACCAATCACGAAAGGACCAATCTGCTCATGAGTCCATTGGTATGAAGTACCTAAAGTAGTCAAATTCACAGAGACATAAAGTAGAACGGTAGTCAGTTGCTGGGGTTTTATGGAGGGTCAAGAGTAGGGTGTCACTGTGTAATGAGTACAGAGTTTCAGTTTGAGAAGATGAAAACATCCTAAAGAAGGATGGTGGTGATGGTGGTACAGCAATGTGTATTTATTTAATGCCACTAACCTATATACTTTAAAAGGGTTAAAGTGGTAAATTCTATGTTAAGTATGTTTTACAAATTTCAAACAATTTCAAAGAATTCACATACAATTTCAAAATATTCAAATACTGAAAAAAATGCATATATCTTCCAAATAATTCCAGGAATCAGATTTTATTAATTCAAGCTAACCACTAACTTTTTAAATCATGCATGTAGTGATTTTTCCATGTGGTAAAGCTAAAGGAGTTTTACTCAAAATGGCAACATTTAAAACCTACCTTTAGAAAACACAGATGGGCATTTCTCACATAAACTAATATTATCTTTTCCTAGGAGGGAAAAAAAGAATCTCTCTAATTAAACCACAAGTCCTATATCTGTTATTCAGGCAACAGGCATGCAGGAAAAAATTACTTTAAACTGAATACTCGGGTAACTGAAAAAAAATCTGTCATGTTTTTAAAAAATCAGGAACCAGATTTTTAAAAACATTCCCAATATGGGCTCTACTGTCTTAATTTAAAAGGTATCATAGAATCTAGCACTCATATTCAGACCAATTTAGTACTAATACTGATCACAAATGTTCATAGTCTTTTAAACTCAATTTTGTTTACTGTTTTAAAGAACCTTGTTGCTTAAGTAAATAAATATTTTAAGAGCATGGACTTTAAACAGGGGGTAAACTTTACTTTTTAAACTGAGTCCTTATTAACGCCAATCATTGAGTTCATCAGAACACCCCATTTTGATGACTCTGGCCAATCAACTACACATTAAAAATTTTTTAAACTAGCAAATGATTTTTTGAATAAAATGATTATGTACAATCAACAACTGAACTCTTTTAAGAAATAAACAGGCATCTCTATCAAAAGAAAATCTTTAAGGATCCATTACTTTTTTAAGAGTGGAACTTAAGAATTTAATTTTGGACATACTAAACTTGAGATGGTCACGGACAAGTGAAAATGTCAAATAGGAAACTAGACATAAAACTCATACATCAGGGCTAAAAATAAGCATTGGGAGTCTTGGGCATATAGACAACATTAAAGGGACAAAATGTAAAATGAAAACAGCAAACTCAGCCCCAAGGAACAGAAACACTTACTACTGTTGCAAATGAAGGGCCCCCAAATCAACCTGCAGATGTAAAGTTTTTAAACAATTTGGGCAACATTTAAAAACTTAGTATTTCAAAAAGAAATGAATTTCAGCTTCCCCTGAAAAATCCATTCTACTTTCAAGAATTTAGTCTAAGAAAAAAAATTATGAAAATTAAGAAAAAATTTTATAAAAATTAAGAAAAAAATATACAAATAAGGATGTTCACCCCAACACAATCAAAAGAGTGAATACATGGCAGGGGAATAATATAAAAGCCTACAAAGATGGCCTGTCCAATCAGTGCTGTAGTCATTAAAAAGGCTAAACACTGTACAATAAATGTTCACAATGTATTCTTGTGGGTAGAAAAAATGTAATTCTAGTTTTGTTTTTAAATATTCTGTAGATAGATGTTGGTGAGGTTGGCCGGGTGCAGTCGCTCACGCCTGTAATCCCAGAGCTTTGGAAGGCCGAGAAGGGCAGATTACCTGAGGTCCAGAGTTCAAGACCAGCCTGGCCAACATGGTGAAACCCCGTTTCTACTAAAAATAGAAACATCTGCCAGCCATGGTGGCAGGCACCTGCAATCCCAGCTACTCGGGAGGCTGAGGCATGAGAATCACTTGAACCTGGAGGCGGAGGTTGCAATGAACCAAGATCACAACACTGCACTTCAGCCTGGGGGATTGAGCAAGACTCTGTCTCCAAAACAAAACAATACAGAAAAAGGGGAATATTTACACATTGTTTGTGAGAATATAAATTAGTTTAGCCACTGTGGAGAGCAGTTTGGAGATTTCTCAAAGAACTTAAGACAGAACTACCATTTGACCCAGCAATTCTATTACTGGGTATATACCCAAAGGAAGATGAACTAATCTACCAAAAAGACACATGTACGTTTTATCGTAATACTATTCACGAGAGCAAAGACATAAAATCAACCTAGATGTCCATCAACAGTGGAATGGGTAAAGAAAATGTGATGCATATACACCATGGAACACTACACAGTCATAAAAAGAACAAAATCATGTCCTTTGCAGTAACATGGATGCAGCTGGAAGTCATCATCCTAAGCGAATTAACACAGGAACAGAAAACCAAATACCACATGTTCTCACTTACAAGTGAGAGCTAAACATTGAGTGTATATAGACACAAAGTTGAGAACAAACACTGGAGACTACTAGAGGGAGGAGCGCAAGAGGAGGGTAAAGATTAAACAACTATCACCTACTGTGCTTCCTATTTGGGTGACATGAATATTCACACACAAAACCCCAGTGACACACAATTTACTCATGTAACAAACACACACATGTACCCCTGAACCAAAAATAAAAGTCAAAGAAACAAATTCTGTAGATATTGTGTTCACAGATAAAAGACTAGCAGCATATACTCAAGTTATTTAAAGTAATAACTTAAAGGCAATTTAAAAAATTATTTTCATTTTTCCTAAAATATACACCATTGTTGTGGTAAGAAAAAAAGTTACCACAAAACAAGAACTAATGGATGCTTTGAAAATTAAGAAGAAAAAAATCCTGAATGCCAGAAAACAATCAAGGATGAACTTTAGACATTACTGAAATGTCGCTTCTACTTTACTATCTTGTGCAATTTCCAGTTACTCTTTCTTCACAACCCGACTGAGAAGGTTTATTGCAAGCCAAGTGAGAAAACCTGGATCCCAGCCCCAAACCTGTCACTAAACTAGTTGTATAACCTTTAGTACCTGACAATTTCTAAGTAAAAGTGACTTTTTATAACAGGAAAATCAAATTATATGCATTATATGTACCACATGAGGTCAGAATAAAATACCATACATTTGTAAATATTTTGAGGAAAGGGATCCGAAAGACAGTATTACTACAATACTAACACGTACATTTTCAATCATGGCATAGAACACATTAACATTTATGATCTGAAAACAAAATGAGTAATCAGTTGGCTGAATGGAGAAATAAAGGTTTTCTAGGGCTCTGCTGCACAGTAACAACAGCAATGCACTTTACACATAACTTTTTAAATTCTTACAACCTCTTTATAAGACAGGCATTATTATTATTCCCATTTTAAATTTGAAAAATAACTGAAGCCTAGGCAGTAAATATCACCCCGGCAAGGTTGCAGATGCTAAGTACTGAAGCCAAGACAACTCAAGTCTGTGTTACTCCAGAAGAGCACTCCAACCACTGTATTCTGCTGCCTTTATGAGGGGGTGAGAAGCTAAAGTCCTGCATCAGTTTTCAGAGCAGCTAGTCTCAGGCGCAATGCACCAGCCTTGCCCAGGAACCATAGATCCAGGCCTTTCCCAGGGTAAGTAGTCTGGTTGCCACTTGCCCAGCCCTACCACAGAAATCCTTATCTCACTGCTGCCAAAGAAGCACTGACTACAAACCCCAGCGACATAAAGAAACCCACCACTGCTCTCACAGCCTGGTTCTTTTCCTCCTTCCCCCTTCCATCCTCAACAGCCATGCCAGAGGTGTTATAATCTTTCAAGCTCCAAGTGCTGCCACCTCCTGTTTGCTCACACTTTGGAATGTAGTTCCAGTATACCTATCCTTTCACAATTTAAATTTCACACATGCCTTAAAATATAAAGCTTGTCTTTAGCCAGTATACACATATTTGCAACCATTTAGAAAAACTTATTTTACTTAACTTACAAGTGCTAACTTTGTATTTTAAAAACAATTTCAAACTTACTGAAAAGTTATAAGAACAGTATAGAGAATGCCTGCCTATTACCCTAGATTCACCAATTTTTCACATTTTTTCATTAACTTTCATTCTCTCTCTTCTCACTCTCATGGGTATGTTTATGTGTATATGCACTACACATCGATATAAAAATATATAAATAAATGTATTATTCTGAACTGCTTGTGGGTAAGTTGCATATATCACGCTCTTTTACACCTCAATATTTAAAGTACAA